CCAGCCCCGCTTAGATGGAATGGATGATGTGGAATTTTAACATTGTATTTTCTATTTTTAAATTTTAAATGTTTTTGTCGTTGTGAGCCACCCAGAGTTCCAATGGGAGTGGGCGGCATACAAATTTTATTAAACTTGGAACTCTTCAAGCTGTTCATTATAACTTCTGGCCAATATGGAATATAAGAACTATCCTGTTTTCATTATTGTTACTAGTAGAAGTATTGTAATAGGTCTGAAGACAAATTGTTATTTGTGTGTTTTTACTACAAAATTCTATTCTCAAAGGGAATCAGCAATCAATCAAGATTTATATAGGGGAAAATGTTTTGTACTCAGGATACCAACCAGGAATCTACGCAAAATCTAGTAGTTTGACCTCCAAGGAGACGAGGTTGTATTTAGACCTGAGCCCTGATTTAGCCCAACTCTATCCCTAAATTTTGTGCACAACAAGTAAAGGTATAAAAAGACCAGCAAGAGTGTAGATAATATATACAAGTCAACTCATAGATGTGTGAAGATACTTACCTGAGGTGCTGATTAAAGTAGCAAGTGAAAGGCTGAGAACCTACTTCGTCTTCCCAATAAATCTGCCAGTGCATTACAATATCAGAGTTCTTCTCATTTTCCCGTTCACAGGGGGGGATGTATGAACACTGTGGAAATAAAAGGTCATTAAATGGCATCTTTTTAGTATGCAGCAATTCAGTTTGGCTCTTCCTTAACAGTTTTCATAATTAAACTTAAACCATATGGCTCAGAAATTCAGCAAAAAGACAAGTGGGAGATTTAAATGAATACTGTTGTGAATATTACTATTCAAGAATGGTCACTGAACACTGAAATTCTATTCAAAAGAACTGAATTTTCTCCATCTCTCCCTGTGCACATCTCCAGCCTCTAATTTTAGGCAGTTACATAAAAAGGGTGTGACACAATAGAATAAATCTGTTAAGAACATAAGAGCTCTCTAGTGAGACTAAAGCCTTTCGAGGCACAAATTGAATTTTTATGAGAAACTCATAGAAACAAGGACAAAAGCTTAGTAGTTACTTCCCATATTCCCTTTTACACTAAGTTATGTCTTGAGTAAATGCAATATAAGTAATTGTCAATTTATGACCACAATTGAGCCCAAAATTTATGTTGCTAAGTGAGAAATTTGTTAAGTGAATATTGTCCCATTTTATGACTTTTCTTGCCACAGTTGTTAAGTGAATCATTGCAATTGTTAAATTAGTAACATGGTTATTAAGTGACTCTGTTTTCCAGATAGACTTTGCTTGTCAGAAGGTCGCAAAAGGGGATCACATCACCCCGGGACACTGCAACCATCATAAATGAGAGTTAGTTGTCAAACATCTGAATGTAAATCACGTGACCATGGGGATGCTGAAACAATTATAAGTGTGAAAAATAGTCATAAATCACTTTTTCAGTGCTGTTGCAACAGTCATTAAGTGAACTGCAGTAAGTCAAAGGCTACCTGTACATTTGATGAATATGCTTTGCTAGCATTTCCCTACGTGGCTGATACAAAATAATATTGCATTCACTAGGGAAGCTTCCCATTCAGTCCAGAATCTGCCCCAGATAGGCAATTCTGGAAATAGGCTTTTCCCTCCTAAAGATTATTTCTCCGGACACACAAATCTTCCCAAACAGGAACACTTAGCTTCTGAATGAGTCATGCCTGACAATGTGTAAATCCGAGGGTTGACGACTGGCAGCCCTTCCTACTGGTTAGGAAGAACAAATGTTTCAAGAAAAGGGTGTTGGAGAAATCTTTTGCTTCAAAGGTAAAGGTTTCCAGTAGAGGAGCTGTAATCAGAGTTGTTGATTTGTTTATTTAAAAAAAACAGATTTATTGTCTCTGGCATCTTGATGACTCTGGTAACTGTCTCTAGTTACTTTTTTGTCAAAATGCACTGCAAAGTCAAGTTTTGTGTTTACCTCTACTTCAAGCTTTGAGCTACAATTTCACTGTGGATCTGTGACCAGTCTCCTCGCTGCTTTTTATTAGAGACTGATGTTTAAAGAATCATTTGTGATTTTATGCTGCTCAGTGCTTTATTGACTTGCTTGTAAAGGTTTTGATATTTTGACTACTTAAGATTATGATGATGTTTTCTATTGTTCTTATTTTTAATACTTTTTTTAAAAAAAATTACCTTGTGCTTCTCTGCCTCCATTCCAAAAAAAGAGAAGGGGGAACTGTTTTCTGTGGTCACCTGGCTTGGAGGTACAAAGGGCAAGAGCTCCAGATCTTAATTTCCTTTTCCATTACTATTAACACAATCAATACTGTAATTATTATTTCCAGTCTACTAACTAGTATGTGTTCAGGGATCCCTATTTGTCCCATATGTTATGGTTAATGAGGGGGTAGAAGACAAAGCAATCTCCTATAAGGCAGTTGCCATAATAATTATCAAAAAGCTGCACCAAAGGAGGAAAGTAGGAATGTAAAACAGTGGATTTCTGAGAGAGGAAAGTTGAATCCCCCAATCTTTTAACCTACAGGCTCAGCCTCCCACTGTTATCAATGTATAAATATAAAACATGCCATTTTTATTTCTAATCAAAAATTTAAAATTAGATCCAGTTTCAGAATGTGCATTCAATCTAACAGTTGTCTTATGAAATATAATCAAGCAATATAGTGAAGTCCGGCATCATCACTTTATGTCTGAGAGCAATGAGGAATTAGCAACACTGAGCAGCTAAGACTAGGAAACCAATCTGCCACCATTTTGGGATAGTCATCATCTCCCAATGCGCCTAAGAAATAAAAAGAAAGTTGGGTTGGCTGCGTAAAATCAAACAACACATAGCACAAACCTATAGATTTAATACTCAACTAATCTGTTAGGTCACCATTAATTATAACTACCATAATATAACTATCTCTGAGAACTCTGCCTCATCAATGAGAATTGCTGATAAAGATGAATAACCCAAATAAAACTAGAATGCAGATATTTTTCAGGAGCTCATCAGCAAAGAGCACTCTAGAATGTCTCTTCCTTTCTATTTTTCATGTGGAGAAGATTCTTACCATTCATGAGATTGAACATTCTGGATACAGCACAAGAAGTTGCAAATAGACAAGGCAGTGAAATATTATATACTTTCATAGCAGACAGCTGCCTGGAACCGTCTTTCTCTGGTCTCCACCTCCACTCCAACCCCCTAACAGTCAGGACTGTCAAACTGGTAGGCCTCGTGCCAGATATGCCATGTGCAGGCCACACCCACCCCAGCTCCACAAAGGCAAAAACCACCACACTATGTCCCAATCTGACCCGTGATGCAATCGAGTTTGACATTCGTGCCTAACTGAATGAAAATGCATTTTGTGCTCTTTTAGAGATAAAGTCATAGGCACTTTTGGCTGTATAGCAGAACCAATGCTCAGTTGACTGTAACCACATGCATCAGGCATCAGTACTGATAAACATTTATAGTGCTAGACTATATCAGTCTAGCTCAACATTCTCTACTCTGATGAGTATGACTTGTCCTGTAAAATTGGAGGTTTGTTCCAAACAAGAAAGGTTAAATACTTTACAGTAAATGAAAATAATAAAAATGAGAATCTATGCAAAAGATGTTCAACCCTTTTCTAATTTTACCCCTGTACTTCCCAATGCTTCAAAGCTGTGCATCTCAGGCATAGACTAATACATTCATCTACAAAGATCACTATGGTTATTTTAATTTATCTTCAGAACTGAAGGTTTTTAATTGTATTGATTTGAAAAAAGAAAACTCAGGATATTTTTTCTATAGTATGTAGTTTATTTTTTATAATAAGTGATATATATTACTTATTATATAACTCTTATCATTGGTACATTACTTGTACCAATGATAAGAGTCCAATGATGCATGGCTCAGGAAATAATCTATAATTCTGTGATACTTGCAAGACTATATGACTAGAGTTATGGTGTTGAATCAGACTATGATACTATAGAAACTAGAAGATATTTTTATTGCTCCAAGCAGTTTTGGAAAGATTTCAAAAGGCAGCTAATTTGGTGTTCTATGTAGGTACACATTGTGCTACAATATTAATTTAAGAGATGGTATATAACTCCACTGAAAAATAAAAGGGTGGGAAGAATTTTAGTATGTTTTTTAGTCTTCAGATAAAGATAGAAATAACAATTCAAATCATATTTTTAAAAAGAATCTATCCAGCTGATTAACATACTATAGCAGGGATGGCTAACCTCTTTTGGCTCGGGTGCCGAAAGCACAAGTGTGATAGCACATGCACACGTGCCCATACCCATGATTCAATTCCCCCCCCCCGCACAACCCTACGCATGCATGCATGCCCCCCCCCCTCCTGAAGCCTGGGGAGGATGAAAACGGTCTCCCCTGGAGGCCTGTTTCCAAACTTCCGGTAGGCCCGGTAGGCCCATTTTCCGCCCTCCCCAGGCCTCGGAGGCTTTCCTGAAGCCTGTGAAGGGCGAAACGCCCTCCCCCAACTCTCCAGAGGCCGAAACTCAGTTGGCCGGAGCGTGCATGTGTGCTGCAGTTGACCTAGGGCAATGGCTCGCGTGCCCTCAGAGATAGCTCCACGTGCCACCTGTGGCACGTGTACCATAGGTTCACCATCACGGTACTATAGTGTTTCTCAAACTTGGCAACTTTACGATGTGCGGACTTCAACTTCCAGAAATTCTGGAAATTAAAGTCCACACATCATAAAGTTGCCAAGGTTGGGAAACACTGAATATATTAGGTTAGTGGCCTTCACTTTTCCCTAATCATACACTATGTGAGCTGAACATATTTGGAGAAAATCAAATTAGAGAAAACATTACTGATGATTAATGGCATATTTAAGGAAATAGGCAGCTGATTCACAAATGCATGTCTCTCACTTGACTTGCAAGTGTAAATGAATCTCACCTTGGGATTTGTTTTTAAACAATGAAAAGTGACCAAATTTTAATGAATAAATGAACTACTATACATTTAACGATGAAAGAACATTCATATTATCAATACCACTAACATTTCAAACACAATACCTGTCAGTGAACAGTTAGTGATGAACTGGAATGCATCCTTGTTTAGGAAGCAGAATGATCAAGGTTACAGTTACTATATCTGGTTTAGATATAGTAAATGTAACCTTGTTGTTTTTGCAAAGCAAAGTTGTTTTTGATAGTCAACAAAGCTATAATTCTAATATCTTTCAATATAGGCTGCATAAATGTTGAAAGTTCTGTAGGAAAAGAATCCTGACAAAGCATCAAATCCTTCAGAATGTGGAAATATTTGTCCCTTCACAATTCAGTGTTAGATGTTGGGATGTGAACTGTATTCTTGCCCCTGAAACCAATTCTTCTATAGACATGACTAGATTGTCCCCAGAAATATACTCTACAGCTGAAGGGCAATTTATCATTCTGAATGTTCTTCCTTGTCACCATTAAAGGTTAGCTAGTAGGGTATGCAGAGATGGTATTCAGCCGGTTCTCTCCCGTTCGGGTGAACCGTTAGCAGCAGCTGCAGGAGACCCCATCCACCCCAACATAATACACAATCTTCTGCACATGCAGACCAGTAGGGAAAGTAAGTGAATCCCACCGCTGAGCGTATATACTTATTTGGACGTTCATGAAAAACAGTACAC